TTCCCTAGTTTTGTTCTTTATTTCGTTAGGTTGTGCTTTCCATAATTAGTTTCCTTGTTTTGTGCATTTCTTTGTTTATTTGTTCTTTTTTCCCTTTTATTTGTTTGTTTTCGTTTATCTTTAGGTTATGATCGTGTTCCCAAGGATTCCCGAGCCTTCCTCTCGTATTTCTCATCAATTTGGATGCCTTGTGTTCGCCTTTCGGAACTTTAAGTTTGAAGGAGCGCAAAGAGAAAGTTAAGAGATCGGTGCACGTATGCGGTGGGGGCGTCATCTTTGCCATGAACCCACCAAAATGGCCCTTTCAAGACTGCCCACCTTGGTGTTCGTCATCATCATAAAGTCGAGCGCACGAGAATGAGCTTGGACGAAGAATAGGGGGGCTCCCCTGCTGCCAGGTGCGGGCGCGCACGAGGGTGGTGCGGCCGCGCAGCTGGGTGGCGCGGGCGCGCCTTCAAGGGCCCCTGTTCTGTACCCTTTTTCTCGCGGCCGCGCCTCTCCTCTGTTGCGACCGCGCCTTCCGGGGTTTCTTTTGGGACGATCTAACTAACTTTTATTTTGTATCTTTCCTATATATAGTTTTTCTTTCTATTTTAGGAGAGGAGAATTAGAATAGAATTAGAGTTTAGTTTTAGATTTTTAGAGAGAGAAACTCTAGATTTTTAGAGAGAAAATTTCATGGTGGATTTTTATTGGTTGAAGATTTCTCCATTTCCTTTGATCTTTGATCAAGTTTGTAAGGATTCCTTTTCTTTAATTCAATCTTTAGTTTGATCTTTAGTTTGATTTCAATTGTTTTGTTGAAAGTTCAAGTTTGATTGAAGTTTGATTGATTGTGATTTGATTTTAGCTTGTTTTATATTATCATGATGAATTTGTTGTTTAGCCTTGTTTTGATCTTGATTTCAATGACTAGTGAGTAGTTTGCTTGCTAGGTTAATGGTGAAGCATGTAATAGTAATGGATTGATGTTAATTTGGGGAAATTGATGGAGTTGATGATGTGATTAAATTGGTTAATTGATTATGTGCATGTGTGTGTTTGATTTAGGCTTGATCACCCTAGTTATTCACACTAGATTGCATTGTAGGTTCACATTGATACGGACCATTGATTTGTGGCTTGCATTTAACGATTGAGGTGTCTTGTGACGTTCCTAGCTAGAGTTTATCGTAGTTGACGCTAGTTAGACCTCTAGGAAAATAACTTGATATGCTCTTTTGATTGCATGATTGGTTTTCCCTCGCATCACTCGACTTAGTCAATTCTTTCCCAATTAGCGGAAACCGTTACAAGTATATGTGGATCCCGAGCCCTAGTGTTCATTACATTTGTCCAAACTTAGCTTGACTAGTTGTTTAGCATTCACACCCTTACCTAACCTTTCCGGAATAGCTTGACTTGGCAATATAAGATCGCTCTCCATTCCTTAGTGGTTCGACCCTCGACTTACCATTATACTTGTATAAGGGTGTGTTGAGAGATTACAAATTTTGTTTGGCCTTGGGTAAGGGGTTTGTTTCAACGACCTATTCTCGACCCTCATCAAAATGGCGCCGTTGCCGGGGAATGGCATTGTGATTTTGTATTGTTGTTGAGTTTATTCCATCTTATTCAAAAATACAAAAAGATTTTTCTTCTTTCTTTTACGCTACATTTGTAGCTGTGTTACTAATAATTTTGTTTGAGATTGTGTGTGCAAGTGAACATGGAAGAAGCTCATAAAGTGACATTGAAGGAGTTAGGCACTCCGGGTGCTTACAAGTGTGAGAGTGGGATTGTTCCATTGTTGGTTCCGGATAACGATTTTGAAATCAAACCAGCTATGATTACCTTGATCGAGAGGAAACAATTTGGTGGTGAAAAAAGTAAAAATCCTCTCAATCATCTCAAAGATTTTGAGAAGTATTGTAATACAATTGTGGTAGCCAGAGTTGCTTAAGAGTATATTAGGCTCAAGTTGATTCCCTTTTCTCTTATTGGAAGAGTTTTAGAGTGGTTGGACAAGGAGGTCAAACCAAGGTCCCTAAGGTCATGGGATGAAGTTACCAAGTCTTTCTTATCTCGCTTTTTCCCACAAAAGAAAACGACGGAATTTAGGGCTTTGATCCAAAATTTCAACCAAGGGCCTAATGAGAGTCTCTATGAAGCATGGGAGAGGTATAAGGAGTATCAACGAGAGTGTCCACATCATGGAATTCCCACCTACCAAATTATATAAATCTTCTATGGTGGGCTAAGTTCTCAAGGAAGAGCAAGCTTAGATGCCGGAGCCGGATGCCTGATAATAAACAAAACGGAAGAAGAAGTGGTGGATGCAATAGATGAAGTGGTGAGACATTATATGAATTGGAAAGAGGTGGTAAAGGAGCCAACTAGCAAGGGGTGCTCGATCGAAAAATTTAATGCCATCAACGATTTGACCACTCTAATTTCGGATTTAGGGAAAGAGGTCGTATCCCTCAAGGCCAAGCTTGAGAGTCCTCCTTCGCAAGCTCCGATTCTTCCCTCCCAAAATAAGGGGAGAGGTACACCTTCTTATTCTAACACTTTTCCTTCTTCTGGTTGCATGATTAGAGAATGTCGGCCTTGTGATTTATGTGGAATGAATGATCATGATGCTTTTATGTGCCCCAATGTTCTTTGTGAAGAATGTGATGGAATTGAAAATGAGCATGTGAATTATGTTGGTAACCATAATTTTGAACCAAGATTTGAGGTTAAAAGAAATGTTGGAAATAGGAATTATCACAACTAAGAGAACTATGATAACTATAATCAAAGTGGTGGTTGTAGAAATCATGTAGTCCAAGAGATTCGTGGTGGCTATAACAATCATTGTTATAATGGTCAAAGTCACGGCCGAGGGCATGGGGATCATAGCCGAGGTTATGGTAAACATAGTCAACATCATGGACAAAATCAAGGTAGGGGTAATTGGAATAATCAAAGTAGGGAAATTTTCAACCTAATGTTCCAAGAGGTACCCCACTTGGATCCACTCCAAATACTCAAGGCCCAAGTGATAATTTCCATGATCAACCATTTTCTTCTAGGAGTTTCTTGGAAGAGGTTTTTGAGAAACAAGCCAATTTGCTAGAATCTTACATGGCCGTGAATGATGAGAAGTTTAATGACATGTTGATTCAAAATAAGGAGTTAGGAAACTGACTTTCTCAATTGGCTAGTGACTTTGAGGAATTTAAGAATTCTTCTTCTTCTTTGACTTCATTGAACCTAGATTCTAAGAACCCTATGGATGCAAGTGTCACTAGGAGTGGTAGGGTCCTTGAGAGTGGAGTACCTAAGAAGAGTGATGCTAGAGAGAGTACTAGCAAGAGCCCTATTGAGATTGAGGGAGATGAGGGTCCCATAATTGAGAAAATTGAGGAGGAACAAGTATAAAGAGTGAAAGAGAAAGAGAACTAACTTTACAAGCCCAAACTCCCTTATCCCCAAAAGTATAATATGCACAAATTGGATGAGCAATTTGGAAAATTCATAGAGATGCTTAAGCAACTTCATCTTACTCTTCCTTTCACCGATGTGGTAGAACAAATGCCAAACTATGCTAAGTTCCTTAAAGAAATTTTGAGTGGAAAGAGGACATGTGATATGGCAGAGACGGTTACCCTAACCGAGAATTGTAGTGCAATCCTAATGAATAAGATGCCACCTAAGTTGAAGGATCTCGGAAATTTCACTATCCTTTGTGCTATTAATAAGATGCAATTTGATAATGCCTTATGTGACTTAGGAGCTAGTGTTAGCCTTATGCCATATTCGGTCTATCAAAGACTAGAGCTAGGGGAACTTTTACCTTCAAAGATTAATTGCAATTAGCCGATAGGTCGATCAAGATCCCAAAAGGTAAGATAGAAGATGTTCCCTTGAGGGTGGGGAAATTTATTATTCCGGTAGATTTTGTTGTGTTGGATATGGATGTAGATGCTACTATCCCTATCATCCAAGGTAGACCATTCCTTGCTACATCGGGGGCTATGATTGACGTCAAGAGTGCTAAGATAACTCTTAAGATAGTAGAGGAGGTAGTTGAGTTTGATTTGAATGAAGGTATGAAATATCCCTCTTCTTCCTTTGAAAATTGCATGAGTGTTGAAGTTCTTGATAATATTGTGCAATCCATGCATGAGCAATTGCTCACATCTAATGATCCTCTTGAGTGTGTTTTGTTGAATAACGAAAAGATAGGTGCTCCTAGAAAGGAAGTAAAATTGTATGAAGATTTGCTTGATGGAAGCATTTAAGGAAGCGATGAACAAATTTGCATGGGGATCTCAAATAAAGATGCTTTACAAGTAGCCTCGACAAAAGAAGGTAAAGGTGTGCCTATGGTAGAGCTCAAACCTCTACCATCACACCTTAGGTATGAATTCCTAGGCCCAAATTCTACTTATCCCGTAATTGTTAGTGCATCCTTGAGTGAGAGCCAGGCTCAAGCGCTATGTGAAGTTTAGAGAAAGCATCAAGGTGCTTTGGGCTATACCATTGATGATCTCAAAGGTATAAGCCCCACTTTGTGTACGCATCATATAAAGCTTGAGGAAGTCACCCTTCCCTCTATTGAACGACAACGTAAGCTACATCCCCAAATGGAGGAGGTAGTAAAAAAAGAGATCACCAAGCTTTTGGATGCAGGAATCATATTCCCCTTCTCAAGCTCTAGGTGGGTTTCTCCTGTTCATGTCGTTCCAAAGAAGGGGGGTATGTCAGTAGTCAAGAATGAGAAAGGTGAGCTCATTCCAACTAGAACGGTCACCGGTTGGCGTATGTGTATAGACTATAGACGTCTAAACACATCCACCATGAAGGATCACTTTCCCCTTCCATTCATTGATCAAATGCTTGAGAGACTAACAAGGCACAAGTTTAATTGCTTCCTTGATGGTTACTCGGGATTTTTTCAATTCCTGATTCACCCCGGTGATTAAGAGAAGACAACGTTCACATGCCCTTATGGAACCTTCGCCTATAGGAGAATGCCGTTTGGTCTTTGCAATGCTCCCGCAACTTTCCAAAGATGTATGATGAGCATTTTTGGAGATATGTTGGAGGAAGAAATGGAGATTTTTATGGATGATTTTTCCATAGGGGGGGTTTCGTTTGAGGATTGCCTTGAGAATCTTGGAAAATTCTTAGCAAGGTGTGAGAAAGTGAACTTAGTGTTGAATTGGGAAAAATGCCACTTCATGGTGGAGGAAGGAATAGTGCTTAGACACAAAATCTCTCATAAAGGAATAGAAGTGGATAAGGCCAAGATCGAGGTTATTGAAAAGCTTCCTCCCCAGGTGAATGTACAGGGAGTGAGATCATTTTTGGGGCATGCCGGGTTCTATAGGAGATTCATCAAGGATTTCTCACTCATTCCCAAGCCCCTCAATGACCTTCTCCAAAAAGATGTTGATTTTGTGTTTGATGATAATTGTTTTGAGGCGTTCAACAAATTAAAGAAAGCTTTGACTTCCACTCCCATTGTCCAAGCCCCTAGGTGGGATTTTCCTTTCGATCTTATGTGTGATGCTAGTGATACGGCTATTGGGGGAGTGTTGGGTCAAAGGGTTGATAAGAAACTCCATGTCATCTATTACATGTCGAAGACCCTTAATGGTGCTCAAAGAAATTACACAACAACGGAAAAGGAGTTCTTAGAAATTGTTCATTCCTTCGAAAATTTCGTTGTTACTTGTTGGGGTCTAAGACTATTGTGTTCACCGATCATGCGACTTTGAAATATCTCTTTGGGAAAAAGGAATCTAAGACAAGGTTAATTCGTTGGGTTCTTGAACTTCAATATTTTGATCTTGAGATTCGAGATAAGAAAGGAGCGGAAAATGTGGTGGCGGACCATTTATCTAGACTTAATGATTTTCAAGTCCAAGATGATGGGTCCCATATTGAAGATAGAATGTTGGACTTCTTGTATTCGATAAATGTGAAGGAACTCCCATGGTTTTCCAATTTGGTTAATTACCTTGCTTGTGGGGAGTTTTCTCCTTCTTTTTCCAAGAATCGTAGAAAGAAGCTTAAGAGAGAAGCTAGGCACTATGTTTGGGATGAGCCAATTTTGTATAAGAGAGGTGGTGATGGTTTGTTACGTCGATGTGTGCCAAATGAGAAAATACCAAATGTGTTGAAGATGTGCCACTCGGATCCTAGTGGTGGACATATAGGTGTTTCTAGAACGGCTTCTAAGGTGCTTCAATGCGGATTATGGTGGCCAAACCTCTTTAATATCACTTGGGAATTTGTCAAAAGTTGGGACCAATGTCAAAGAACCGGGAAAATTTCAAGGAGAAATGAGATGCCCCAACAACCCATCCTTGAGTTGGAAATTTTTGATGTTTAGGGAATAGATTTCATGGGTCCTTTTCCTTGTTCATATGGGAATCAATTCATTCTTGTTGCCGTCGATTATGTGTCAAAATGGGTTGAAGCCATTGCTTCTCCAACAAATGACCATAAAGTGGTAATGAAGTTGTTTAAAAAGATAATCTTCCCAAGGTTTGGCATTCCCAAGGCGGTTATAAGCGACAACGGGTCTCATTTGTTCATAGCGCTTTCCGGAAGATGTTGAAGAAACATGGGGTAAACCAACGTTTTGGGCTCCCTTACCATCCTCAAACTAACGGGCAAGTTGAGGTGTCCAATCGTCAAATTAAGTTGATACTTGAGAAGACGGTTGCAAGAAATAGGAAGGATTGGTCGAATAAGCTTGATGATGCCTTGTGGGCATATAGAACGACCTTTAAAATTCCTATTGGTACCACTCCTTACCGCTTGGTTTATGGTAAATCTTGCCATCTCCCGGTTGAGCTTGAGCATCGTACTCATTGGGCTATAAAGAAGATCAATTTTGATTTGGCAAGTGCGGGTGAGCAACGTTGGTTAGATCTCCATGAGTTGGAAGAGCTTCTTTTGGATGCTTATGATTGTGCTAGTTTATATAAAGCAAGAGCCAAAGAGGTGCGTGATAAGCTCATTGAGAAGAAGGAGTTCAATCCCGGAGATAAGGTGCTCCTTTACAATTCAAGAATGAGACTTTTTCCCAGAAAGTTGATGTCCCGTTGGACCGGTCCATTTGTTGTTCAAGAGGTCTTCCCAAATGGTGGTATTGAAATTTCTCCGTTGGACCTCTCAAGGACTTTCAAGGTCAACGCTCATAGGCTTAAGCGTTACTATGAGGGAGTTTTTGTCGGGGTCATTCATGATATGACTCTCCATGATCCACCTTGAAGGGTGGAGAACGTCAAGCTAATGACGTTAAACAAGCGCTTACCGGGAGGCAATCTGAGTTTTTAACCCTTTTCTCATTTTTCTTTGATTTTCCTTTGATGCCTTTATTCTCTTTTAATCTTGTTTTCTTTTGTGTTGTAGGTGGTTTTAATTTGATATCCAACAATCTTGGTGCCAATTTTGAGGTAGAAATGTCCAAATTCATGAATTGGAAAATGTGTAAGTATGGAGATTGGTGGGTTCTTATTGTGGGTTCATGAAATTCTAGTTTTGAACCCACTAAAATGGGGTTTTGTTACTGCCTATGTTGGTGTTTATCATCATCATAAATTGTGTGCCCGCCGTTGTGTGCATTTAAAAAGGAAAAGAGAAAGGTAAAACTTATACCTAGGGAGGTGCGGGTGCGCACGAGCCAGGTGTGGCCGCGCACCCCCAGGTGCGGCCGCGCATTCCTCAGGTGCGGCCGCATCCCTGCTCGTCTTCCCCCCTTAAACCCCATAGATTCTCTTTCCGTCTCTTTCTCTCTTACCTTACTTTCTCACTCATGTTTTCTTTGGTCTTTGCTCAAGCATCATTTTCACCTCCATCATCATATAGTCATTGAAATTTCATCAAAATTCATAATCATCTAGTTTATTATTGCTCTTAGTCTCAATTTTTGCACTTCCATGGTGATTTTCTCTCTCCTAAATTGAGATTTTTGGTACTCTTTGATTGAAGTTTTGAGGTTTGTAATTTGGGGTTGCTAGTGTGTAATAGTGCTCCTTGTTCCATTTATTTGTGATTTCTCATCAATTAAAGGTATGATTTCTTTATTCTCTAGATAAATTTTCTACCTATATTATTCATGGAAATTTGATTTGGTTTGGTCCTACCCTAATTAGCATACCCATATTGCTTAGTACTTGCTTCATTTGATTGTGTTGATGATGAAATGTTGATAAATATATTATTTGGTGTTGTTGTTTTTGTTTGAGTTTATTGAAAATTTTGGCACTACCATTGTTGGATTCATTATTTGGTGTTATTGATTTGGTGATGATGATGTCCATAAGGGTTTGGATGGTCATATGAAATGTTGTTGCTCACTATGCATGATTATGGTTTATAATTGTGGTTTTCTAAGTGCTTTTTTCACTTGATTGTGAATTCTTGCTTATTCCTTTGATTATTGTAGTCCTTATGGGATTTGCCATTATCATGCATTGTCTTTGCACACAATTTTCCCTTGTTATTGCACCTTTATTTTGCTTGTGATGTGTAGATGGCGTCCCTTCGTCGTGCTAAAAGGGAAAAATGCTCTACTCATAGGAAGGTGGTTTCTCCTCCATCCTACATCACGGAGCCATATGGCATCGAGTTCACCAAGCGAGAGCATTGGGACAGCTTCTACAACTTGTCACCTCGACAACTCTTTTCCATAAGATTCTATGATAGGGAGACAACAACTTTGCTTGGAATTGATGAGGACGTTAGGATGTTGGCGCGGAACTTAGGGCTTAAGGCTTTCATTGATCTTAATGCACCAACATTTTCCCGCGTTAGAGTCGAGTTTCTCGCTTCTGTTGAGGTTCATGAGGATGAGCATGGTGATTCGCCTCCAACCCTATCCTTCCAAGTCTTTAACAATGATCATTCAATTCCACTTTCTTTTCTCAATGAGGCATTTCATTTTCCGAAGCCATTTTATGGGACATCGTATATCTATCCGGCCTTCGAAACTTTGCAAAAAGATCATAAGTATTGTGAGGATACATGGTGGAATCACATAGCTGATGAAGAGGCTTATCGGCCGAAATACTCAAAGTCGGCCTCGATTATTCACGCGGCTATGAGGTATTTTAGTCGTACCCTCACCTATGCTTTCTTCTCTAAGAAATCCCTCAGTGCCATATCTCGAGAAGAGTTAAGTTGGCTTTGGCTAGCGGATAATCCATGGGAAGAAGGATGTGAAGTCATAGATTTTGCCTTTCATTTGCTTGATCGGTTTACCGATATTCGTGATGGGGTTTTCCTCTCGGGTAGCATTCAAATAGGCGGCATGATCACCATATTAGTGCTTTCACTTCACAAGAAATATGGGCCTATTCTTAACTCCCTTGAGCCCATTCATGATAAGAGGGAGAAGACCCCTTCCCATCTTCTAACCATCTATGCTTTGATCAATCAAAGTTTTTTGGAATGCACTACTAAAAAGGATTTGTTTGTTAAGAAAGTGTGTCGGACTACGGATTGGTGTCTCATTCCCCACCCCGAAGCTATGGTCCGTGATTTGAAATCAAAATTGCCTTGGCGACCAAACAAGATGGCTATTGATCTTTTTATTCGTAAGGTTCCTTTGCCTAACCTTCGTCTCAAGCGTCGTGTTCCCCCAAGTTCTCCGGGAGGTACTTCTAACTCTTCTCCTTCTTCTTTTTCTCCTTCTATTAATTTGTCTAGCTTGCATGATAAGATTGATGCTATTTCCCTTTCCTTGTCTTCCCCTTCTTTGGGTAATGATTTTGACGGGGGTTATGATTACCATGCTAGGAGAATCTATTATTTGTATATTTTTAAAGGAGAGATTGAACCATATTTGAACTACCCCTACCTTCCGGTCCAAGAGGGACCAATTCCTCAATGGGAACCGTATGATGAGACCATAGGACCTCGCCTTTGTTACCCCTATTGAGAGGGGCCCCATGTGGCACTTAGTGATATTCGCGGGACTACCTGAGGGGAATATGATTATAAGAGGCCGGGGGGTGTGATTTTGTTTACGATCCAGGCAACCCTAATCCTTTTCCCTCTCCTGAGACCGATGGGAGGTGGGGACTCTTGGGTCCACCTGTTTTGGATGATTGGTCGCAAATTTATGCTTTAGATTTGTTTAGGAATAGGTTTAGGACCAAAGGAAAGAGTGCTTTAGTTACGGACGATGTGATTCGCCGTGTTGTTTCTGATAATGGTGAGGGAAGCTCTCATTCTACCTCTTACCATAGTGCCGAGTGAGACCGACTTGGCTACCCCCCCTTATTTCTTGATTTTCTCCAGTCCTGGTTTTTCATGCTTTATTGTTGGTTTAGCTTAGGGGGGGTAGCTCATGGTAAGCTTGGGGGGTGCTTTTTATATTTGTTTGTGCTTTACATGATTCCCCTTGATGTGATGGTTCTCTATGGCTTTGTGTTCGGATTTCCTTTCTGCTGCTATCTATTGATGATGATATTCTTCTTCTGATGATTTTCTGATGATTCCTACTATGATTCTGCCGTTGATGTGTGATATCTGTTTATCTTATTGATGATTTTCTGATGATTTGCTGATGATGTTTCTCTATCTCTGATTCTTCGCCTTTATTTTGATTTCTTTTCTTTTCTTATCTTTTGGTTTTGTTTGGAAGTTACTAACAATTTTCTTTGTATATAGTTTTCTTTATTAATTTTGCTCTCTTCCGGTTATGATTGTCCTACTTCTATTTTGGAATTTTATTGGTGACTCTTATATTCACTCTTTATTCTCGGCTAAGCATGGATTATCCGGTGAGATCTTTCCTTTTTATTTCTTTTATTTTCTTGGTTTCTTAGATTAGGATTAGTATAGGGGAGATGAATGGTTTGAGGATGTATGTGTTTAACACCTTGCGTGTTTGGGATCTTTTGATGTTGTTGCCATTAGATCACTTGTATTACGATTGGGACTTATGTGTTCCATGTGCATTCTTGTTCTTTTCTTCATTTCTCGCTTCTCTTATTTCTTTGTTCTTCCCTTTTCCTTTATTTTTCTTTTCTTTATCTTCCTCTTGCTTTGTTTATAGTTTTGAGGCTTTTTCTTTTATTCTCTTTTATGATTTGGACTCCATATCACTTGAATTTTGCCTTTGAATGATTCACTTCCTAAATAATAGAGGTTTGCACATTTCGAGATTATGTTCGGTTAATTTAAGAAATAATTTATGCTAAGGTAGTTGGTTAGAACTAAGAGGATCATGAAGCCAGATTCTACTTGTTTGTGGCTTGTTGGTAGTTGCTCCCTATGGTTGATTTGATGCTAATAGTGAGTTTTTGCTACATCCATGTGAGGTTCATTGTTTTTCAAGCCTTCTACATATATTTGCATGAGCGGCATGGATCCTTGACTTTTGCAAACCTAATCTTGAAACTTGACTCATAGTTCTTGAATCCGAGACCGAACCATTTAGGGAGGACAAAGGCATCTTTTCGGGGTGGTATATTTTGTTTTTCTAGGAATTGTTCTTTTCAATTTTTGTTCCTTTTGGGTTTACATTTTCCTTCTTGCTAACCATTTGAGCCTTTTTCCTTCTTTTCAAGCCACATCTTTAGATTCTTGAGCCTTTTGTTTCTTTTTGTTCCATTTTTGGTTTTTGTGAAGCAAATGGTCTTATTTTGGAGATTGTGGTGTATAAGTTTGGTTATTGGTTCGAAAATGAATGCAAGTTCGTGTTTTGTGTATATTTTGTGAATAATGGAGAGTGAATAAATGAAAGAGTCGTCCAATATAAAAAGGCAAGGACAAAGGAAGTGCAAAGTTCAAAAGAGTCGTCCAATATAAAAAGGCAAGGACAAAGCATTACAATAAGAAAAAAAAAAGTGAGAAATGAAAATCCAAAAATATTTTGATGTGTTCTTTTCTCCTTCTATGCATTGAGGACAATGCTTCATTTTAGCTTGGGGGAGGAGCGTTTACGCCTTTTGTGTAAATGTTTGAAAATGTAGTTTTCAATAAGTTTGGGGGTATAAGGTGTATGTATTTTTGTTTGGATTGGTGACTACTTGAGTGTGATCCTAAGAATTGGCCATTCTTTTGCTTCATTGATTAGGAAAACCACTAATTTAAAATTTCTAGCCTACCTACACCCTTTTCGCCCTTGCATTACAACCTTTGGGAAAGCCCTTTTGACCTAAGTGGTTGAGTCATTCTTCGGAGGAGAGGAATGTGAGTTTTAGCCTAAGGAGAGGGGATGGAAAGTCAAGATGTCGAGTAGCCTAAATTTTTCTTTTTCC